ACACCTCCCAGTATGCTCTTTACTCTCTCTAGAGGGTGGATTTCCTGACTCACAGTGCCTCTAACCCATTGCCCAAACTGGTTGCTCCCCATCCTGTCTTTGTGCAGCTGAATGTTGCTCCTGCCTTATTCCACCCCATGTGCCTCCCAACTGAATCTCACTCGACTTTGGAAAGGCCATTATTCCACAAGCTGAGGGTCCCCCTTCTTCCCAATCTCATCCTACAGTGCTGTTCTCAGTTCTTCCTGACTCTGCATGTCCAGCAGATTGAATAATCCTCCTCTGGGTTCATCCACCCACCCTGCAGACCCATGTTCACTACCACCATCCCTCTCAGAAGTCCTGTTAAAAAGCACCTGAGTTGTGCTTCAGCTGTTTTAGAAGATGAATGATGAAAGCCCTGCTGGAGCCAAGGCAGCTACTGCATCTCTCCAGAACAGCTCCTGCAAATGGAATTTGATTGATTCAAAAGTCTTCTCTTGACCAGGCCCTAATGGCTGATATTAATTTCCTTCATTACCTGTCATGTGTTTGTAAAATGTCCATTTAATTACCTGTCCTTTGCTTGTTTTTTGTAAGAGTGTGTGTTTCCTACTCTGTTGACTCTCCCACTTTACTGTACAGGTACTGAACATCCAGTATTGCTCTGCCTCATCATCCCTGATCCTCAGCATGAAACAGCCCTTTATGGGTCACTAAAGGGAGAAAAGCCCCTCCAAAACATATCTGCTAAACATTTCCAGTGCCTTTGGTGAATGTTTGGGTGCCATTCCTAATATTAGTCCCTAATATTTGACCCTAAAATAACACTTTAAGTACACAACACATCACCAGCTTCACCACAGGTCTGCAGAGCTTTGGCTTTGGTTCATAACATTGTGGAGACTAAATGTTTCCATCCGTGGGTTAAAAAAATGCTGGTGATGTTTATCTGTTCCAAGGAACACCTGTGAAATGGATTTGCACATTGAAACAACTTGCGTTCACCTCCTTGGAGAAATGAGAACCCAGGATTTCTTCAGTGCTTCCCAGCCAAGCCCCTACCCCTTTCCTCCTGGGAAGGAAAACATTCCCATGAAGGCTGGGCTGAGAAGCAAGGAGAAAATCCACATTCAATGAAGAATTTTCGCCCCCAGCAGCATCCCAGAGGGTTTTTGTGTAGGAGCTTGTTCGTACCTGATGATGCGACTGAGACCTCTGCTAAGGTGGCCTCAGGGGACTTTAAAACACATTTGACTGAAACACCTCCACTAAAAGCTGCTCCCTGGGGTCCTTATACAACCAAGGAAATGGCATAACATCACTCCTGGGGGTCTTTAGGGATCCTCAAGGTAGCAAGCATGAATCCCTGCTATTGGGGATAGGGATTCTCTATCATTTTGGGGCAAGTTGATCACAGTTACAGCAGGGAAGAATCAGAGTTTGCATTTCTCTCACTGCTCAGCTGAAACCATCTTCAGACTGTTCATCTTTCCTGTGTGAGATAAAATTCATCACAAAGCCAGCCCCTCCTTGCCAGAAGATGGAAGTGGTCCAATGCAAATAGGACAAATACACCAGCTATCGCCAGTTCTCTGTCAGTCAGTCAGCCTTCCCTCTGAAATGAAAAGTAAAGCAAGTCCCAGAGGTCTCTCCTGCCCTGAGCATGGCTTTACAATTATAATTTATCCTAAGATTATCTCTGTCCCCAGCAGTGCTGAATTCACCTCTGCTGTGTTTGCTGGGGGATTAATTGCTGCTGCATTGGCTGCACTGCAAAACAAAACCCGGGGATGCAGCAAGCTCCTGATTGCCACCATCATTCAGCAAGGGATGACAAATTTACAGTCAAATACACAGGAAACACTTTTTGATTTAGCACAGTCTGCAATTAGCCAGCACAGACCACTGCTGGGAAGGGAATCAAGGCAAACAAGACCAGGCAACCAAAGGATGTGAGCAAGGACAGGGATTAGGGTGGCACTGGGTAAAGCAGCAATGTCCAGAGCTGACCATCCTGGCTTCAGGAAGCACCAAGGATGAACAGCTGCTTCTTGCTCTTCCCACATCCTAGCATGATGTCTGACAGTGCCTGAACGCAACATCCAAATTATTCTTTGATATCCTCTCCCACACTGTCAGGAGATTGCACTGGTGCCAATTTCTAGGACTCTGCATTCATAAGAGATGCTCCAGAACAGCCCTTCCATCCCACCTATTCCCTTGATGGACCACACATCTCACAAGGGGAAATGTGAGGAGAGCAGATACCCAGAAGTCTGGCGCTATTGCAGAGCACTGGGCTTGCTTTCCAGATCCAAGTCTCTGGTTCCATCTTGGATATCCTGCCTGAGTGTGAGGAAAGGAGAAGCTTCATTTCCAGCATAAAAATCTCCCACTTGCAGAGGTCACCCACAGCCTCACCATCCTTGTCCATGGTGGGAACAAGCAACAAACACACCACTCCTCACTGAATCTGGGCTGGATCAGAGGAAAGCTGAGATCCATGGGATTGCAGGAGGGCCCTGGACATCAGCACTGCTGTCACTCTGCTCTGGTGCTGTGGGACTTCCAGGCACATGGAAATGTGGTGAGAGCTCCAGACCCAGAGGCTCAGATGAAACACCAGAAGCTCCACAGCTCTGAGTGGGACCGGGCTGAAAATCTGTCAAGTTTTCTCATGAGATTTCCTCTCTCCCTCCTGGTTCTGTTTGGACTGGAAACACCATGAGAATAACTCTCCTCCTTGCATTTCAGCAGTTTTGCTTCCGGGCCTGGGCTAAACAAGGAAGTGCAGAGGCGTGGGAACCAAGGGGAGACACAAACACATGGGAGCACAGGATGAATGGCTCCAAATCCCTGCATTCAACTCGCTGCCTCCATCAGGGGTTCTCCTGCCAGCAGAACTCCTCTGCACGGGCTGACACTTTCAGGTGGAGGTGGTTATCTGTGGTTCAGATCCTTCTCTCCCTTAGGCAGCAAGGCGCTCCCAGGAATAACTCAACTTTTACTGCTGTGAGACAAGAATATTTGCACCAGGATCTTGGTGCTTTTTAAAGACACATCACCCAGCCCACAGCAGAGCACTTGGACACAGAGCCCAGACCTCTAAACCTTTGTCCTTCTGTGGTAAAAGGGTTTGACTTCTTGATGCACTCATAATCTCAGCACACTGAAAACAGTGTCCATTTCAGGTGTGGAGTACCACAAACCACTTCATGGAGGCTGACCCATTCCTCCAGGATCCAAACTTCTGCACTAATCCACACCTTCAGCATCCACTGACAAAACAAGTTGTGCCCACAGGAGCAGGTATGGCATGTAGGGGTGAATAATGATCCTATCACCACATACATATTTCAGGATAAAATTCCAGCTTCACCACAGCCTAATGAGCCACCCAATATGTGTTTACACCAAACAATCAGTAACTCAAAGCTGCAAAGAATGAGGAAATGGGAAGGAGTTTTTCCCATACCAAGCAGCTTCCAATTTAAGGCATTGCTCTTTCTCGTAAGTCTCCACCAGATTGGCATGGAAATCTCTTTGGGATTATGTGGATCTTTTCAGCAGTTCAAAGGTTAATTGGAGCTACACCAGCATTATGAGCAAAAAGGAAGGGACAATTTCTAGCAGCAAGGTCATGTATCTACTGAGCACTTCCCTCTGGAGCATTCATCATTATTTAATTATCACTGTACTAATAGCTAGCATGAATTAAAATATTCAGGGTCTCTTAGGCTTTGTGGAAGAAGAAAACCTTGTGCTTTTTTAAGAACCTCACAACAAGAGATACTGGAACATCCTCCTGGCCCAGCTGGCCCTATCTCTGAGCATTTGGGGAAAACAACTGGATTTACTTAACTCTACAGCTTCTAGGCAGGACTGGCCCAGATCATGGGCAAAGAAGTTCCAGGTGAGTCTCAAGGACCTGCAAACAGCCCTGGCACAAGCCAGAAGAGGACTCAGTGACTAGAGAGACCATTTAAGTAGTTTTAATTTGAACCAGAATAGGTTTGCATGAGACACTAGGAAAGAATCTTTACAGTGAGGGTGGTGAGGCCCTGGCACGGGTTGCCCAGAGAAGTTGTGGATGCCCCATCCCTGGAAGTGTTCCAAGGCCGGGTTGGATGGCAATAACCTGGGATAGGGGAAATTGTCCCCTCCATCTTGCCATCTTCACTGAACAAGTTACATCTGAATTTGAGCCCCTTAATACCTGTTGCAAAACCACCTTCCCCTCCTGGCTGGTGCTATCTGGTAGCAGCACCTAGACAGGTTCTGTCCTCTTGTCTGCATCATGTTCCTGCTCTGAACACATCCCCAGAGGCACAAGCACAGCTTCTCCATGTCCTTGGCTCAGACAGAGAAGCACAGCCCTGAGCCATGTCCTCCTCTCCCTGTCAGAAGAAGCAAGAGAGGCAGAAATGCACCCAAGAGACACCCTGTGACTCTGGTCCCTGCCAGCTCTCTCCAATCTGCCCTGCCCAAGGCACTTTTCCCTGTCACAGTCTGGCACATCTATTTCAAATGCGGAGGATTGCCACATATCACAGGGAACAAGAAACAGATTCCCACCAGGGAAGCAGGGCCCTGGAGCAGAGTGGCGTCAATGACATGCCCTTGAGGTTCAGAGAAGGAGGACACAACTGCTTGTTAATCCTGCTTCCCAGCTGGTGATTTCTAGGGATAACCTAGCCAGGGAATTCTAGGGAAAATGTTAAAAGAACTTCTAGCAATGCACTGTGAGAATAAAATCCCCATCGCTGCAGCTCACAGGGAGGCAATGCTGCTGGTTGCACAATAAACCATGTGAACCATTGGACACAGATCCAAGGATCAGGAAACAAGCAGCAAAGTCTCCAGCAAAATCACCTCTTTCATTATTTGGTTTTAGGAACCCAGATGTGACCCCCTGCATTATGGTAGATTACATGGTGGTCCCAAGCCTGCCTTTCAACCCCACTTTTCATGAGTCCAATATTTTCTTTTGTTCTATTGTGCCTTTAATTACTCATATTCACCCCTACCACATTTGCCTCCTTGCCCTTATCCCAGGCCCTCTCCCCAGCTTCCCCAGACACCATGAGCCCTCAGCCTGTTCTTGACCTCTCAGCGTGGCAGTCTTGAGCTCTTCAGACCTTGCCTGTGACTTTATGCTTCAGCAATTTTATTATTCAGAGATGCCTTGTCTTAGAGAACAGATATGTACCAACCTGGAGGCACGAGGTAAGGCCACGTGGTTGCAGCCCCAGAAGACAAAGCACATGCCCTGTGCCCACCTAGATGTTACCTGGCACAGTCCTGCCGCTGAGGGCCAAGAAATGAATCAACAGCACAGTGTTACACCTTTACCCAGGCAAGGAAAAGAGGCAGAGGTGAAAGTAAGTCACGAAATCAGAGCTGCATTACTCAGCATGGCCAGTTTGTCATTGCAGCACCTGAGTCACAGGAGTAGAATTCATTCCACTTAAATTTAGACCTCTAAAATGTAGAATCTTATGTCTGGCCACACAGATTCAGCTTCCTTCACAGTCTGTGATTCATCTGACCTCTCTCAGACACTATTGTAGATTGAATCACACTCTGGTTCTTCCTATTTTTCTGCATTGGCAACAAAGGGAGCCAACGGTGACTAGTTCATCCAAAGCCAGACATCTCAACTCTATATGCCAAAATAAGAGCAAAGGAATCCCACTCAGAGTATTGTCATTTCTCCCTAATTTAAGGGCTTAAAACTTTCAAAGCAGAAGGACAATGACAGCTGAATTTGTGGTGGGGCTTTTCATGCCAACATTCAGAGACTGTTTCTTCCCTGCCAGCTCACTCAGTTTAATTCATGGGAATGTCCAGAAACAGGAACCCCTGGAGCACAGCAAAAAAAATGAACCAGGCTCTGGCATTTCTGTGAGCAACCAGTTCTTAATTATTTGACTAATACAAGCCTTGTGCAGCAACCCCCATATGCATTGAGCAGTTTGTGGAGGTTTCTTTGTCACCCATGCACAAACCTCCACAAAGGTCTAGGGTTTCTGCAGAGGTTTGGGTACAAGAGCACAATGCCAAACTGCAACTCTTCTCAGGAAGAAGAGGAATTTATAAAGAAATTGACCTTAAATGTAATTTGGGTCCAGAAGGATCAGAGCACCAGGAAAGGGGCTAATGCTGATCAAGTAGGAGATATATCATGGGCATGAGGCAAACCCTCCCAAGTTGTGGAAAGCTCAGGAGCATGCTGGGAGCAGGTCTGATGGGAAAACCACAGGAATGGGGGTTTCTGCACAGAAGGGACACAACTACCCTGGGAGGAGGCTGCAAAGAAGCTCTCTGAGCCATGAAAATGGAGACAAAATTACTCACAAGCCCCTGAATGTTGGATACCTGTGGATATGTGGGCTCTCCCTCCACTAGGAATAAGTCAAATATGGTTAGAAATCAGGATTTTATTATTTCAGCTCCCCAGCCCCACCCAGAAGTATTGCTAGTTGAGGGCTCTGAGGCAGAGCAGAGCCAGGAGGGAAGGAAATGTCTTGGGCTGTGCCCAGGGGCTGCACTCAGACCCCACAGGGCTATGGCAGGGCCAGGAGGAGAGCACAGGGGAAGGAAGTCTTATGGCAAGGTCGGACAGCAGCTGTCTCCAGGAATGAATCCAGGAGCAGCATCCTCCTGGGATGGGCCAGGAGGATCTTGCATTGACTGACTGCCCTTCCTGAGCTCGGGAGGAAATCAATCTCCCACCGTGGGCTCCAGTTTATTTTTACATTGCAAGTTAGCCCAAAGGGAAAAAAAAAAAGAAAATCATAAAAAAAGTTCTATTCCCTAAAAGGAATCACAAATTTCGCAGCGACCTAAGGAGATTAGTCAAATCCCTGTGACCGTCAGCAGTTTCACTTAGGTCAAAGCCTGGCATAACTCAACCTCTGTGAGAAGGGAGGAGTGGCGTGGACTGCCCAGCTCTGCAGGCTGGCCAGCCTCTCCAAGAGGGCCCTTCAGCAATATCTGGAGGGAAATATCCCTTTTGCAGTCCCACAGCAAACAGTCAGACTGACCCGGAGTGCAGACTGCGAAAGGGAACGTTATCTCTTGCAGATACCACAGTGAGACCTTCCAAGCTGGGAAGCAGGAGGAGGACAAATTTCCCAGGCTGGGAGACATCAAAGGCTGTGTGAAACCTTCCGAAAATGCTCACCCTGAATTTCTCATGCATGGGTGGGCATATGGGATAACTCTCCATAGGGTCAGGGAAATGTAGAAAGTGGAGCAGTTGGGTTCTAATTCCCCTCTTGCTTTGAGGGAGAAAATGAAGAGAATTTAGCTCAAAGCCTAAAAATAAATATGCCACCCATAGGTTTGCCATTGCACAAAAACTGGCCTGAGTTAGGTAACGTAAGGCATTTTTTTGATTAATTCATTTCCATCCCCTGCCAAACATGTTTGTGTTAATGGGCTCACAGAAGCATCAGCCCTTCAAGCTGTGCCTCAGACCTCATCCAGGGGATCAGTAATGTGGTGCTGCTGCTGTGGTGCTGCTGCTGCAATGCACTCAGTGAGCAAAGAGGTGTTGGAGAAATAAAGTGAGAACAAACTTTCAGATTTGGAAGTGTTCAAGACCAGGTTGGATGGGGCTTTGAATAACCTGGTCTAGTGGAAGGTGTCCCTGCCCCTGGCAGAGGGGTTTGAACCATATAATCTTTAGGGACCCTTGCAGCTCAAATCATTCTATGCTTCTATGATTACTCTAAGGAGAAATAGGGCTTTCGGCTCACACTCCACAGCTTTAAAAAAATCTGCCTCCTTTTCAGCAAGAGGAAGGGGCCTCTTGATAGAAACTCAACAGAAATTCTCCTGTTGTGCAAATACAGAATTTGCTTTACATGGTACCAAGAAGCCAAAAAAGGATAGGAGTTCCAGTGTCCTTCCTGTACTGCAGAGAGGCTTATGCAACTGTTTCTCTCTCTCTGATAAAGTTGTTCGTGCAGTTCTTAAAAGAAATAACAACTTTTGCAATTCTTAGCTCTCCTCTCAGAGACACTTGTTCTCTCTTTGTAGCTTGTCCGTCATTTGAACTCTTCCAGTAGTACCAGACCTGAAGTTTTCAAAATTACGAGTCGGGAACTAGAAAATCCTTACACTGATTTAGAAACTAAAATATTAAAAACAAAACAGCAAGAGAGACCTCAGCTGCAGAAACTTTTGAGTTGCTTCTGGTCTTTGGGCTTCTGAAACCAAGAGTGGGACAGTCTCGTTGCATTTTTTCCAAGTATCATCACACCTGCTCTTCTATCTGCTGCTCTTTCCTGGTGTTGTGTTCTCATCAGACCAGAAAGTATCTTTCTGTCCTATGAATGTGCAGCATTCAGCACAAGGTGGTCTTCAGGCAGAATACATCTTCTGGGCATGGGAAAAATGAAGGTGAATTGTTACAATCAGCTGTTTTACCTGCCAAATACATAAACCCAGAGTAAACATTTGAGAAGTGAAGACAGCACCTGGGATAAGGAAGACAGACAGCATCATTGTCCATCACAGCTGGAAGAACCCTCACTCTTCAATATTTGCTCCTGACCCAGTGAGAGGTTTCCTGTGGGGGAAAAGGAACAATAAATATCAGGGAATCATAGAGCTATAGAATGGTTTGGGTTGGAAGGGACCATCTCATTCCAACCCCTGCCATGGACAGGGACACCTTCCACTAGACCAGATTGCTCAGGGTCCCATCCAACTTGGCCTTGAATATTTCCAGGGATGGAGCAACCATATCATTATCACCATCATCATCATCATCATCATCATCATCATCATCATCATCATCATCATCATCATCATCATTATCAAAAATATTGCTCATCATTAATACATCAGAATATCCTCTGCTATTCCTCTAACATCAGGGTGACCAAAAGCATGAGTTTGCACTAAGTGGGTTCAGATTAGTCAGAGGTAACATGACCCTTTGCTCCTGATGATTTCACTAACACGACATTTGCCTTTCTCCAGCCTCCACCTCCCTCAAAAAACCTGGAAATGCAGTTTCCCTAACTGGAAATACACATTTCATAGTAACATTTTCCAGACCACTTTTCAAGAGGTAAAGTGAGACAAATTTTTTCAGCACAGTTTTGTAGAAGCTCACAGCTCTTACCTGGTTCTTCCTGTCTGTATTCTGACATATTCCTTCAGTAATCCGCAAGTCCTCTTGGCTTCATCTTTTTGTGGTGTTTGTTTCTTTGCCCTTCTTAAATAAACTATTGGCAGTTCCTATGGTAACACGCCTCATTCTTTCTCTCTCCTCCCTAAAAGTCTCTTCCTATTTAACAGGCTATTAAAAAGGCTCTATTTATACTTTCTTTTGTTATCCTGCCCCTGCTCCCTTGCAGTCAGACAAGGGCAGGCACGGAGCAGTGCATGCACTACCCTGTGTTACTAATAATGGCCATCCATAAACAGGAGAGCGAGCCGTGGGGATCAAAGCTGTGACCTTCATCAGGAGATGCTCTGCTTCTTCGAGCAAAAAGAAAGGAAACCTGAGACACGGCTGGCTCGGGAGGGAAGCACTGTTTGCAGGGGCCATCCCCACCCTCCCACTCTCCAGCAATGCACTCAGGAGCTGCAAGCCCCCCAGATCAGCCAGCATGTGAAAAACAGCCTCACTGTCTCTGCAGGCAGCTTCCACCTCCCCTCTCTCCTCAGTGTCAGCCATTCATCTACATTACTGGTAATTGGATAAAAAGAAAAATATGAACTGTGCTTCTTTTTGCTTCCCATTCTGTGAAAAGAAAAGCTCCCCTCCTCTCTGTGCTTTTTCGTTTTAAATCTCGGGGCTATTACCAAGCATCAAGGTTTATTTCCGTAAGATTCATCATATCAATTTAAATGCAGATTACAACTTATTTTAACCCTTAGCTGAAGCAGTAGGTGGATTTTTATGATGACAACTCATTGTTTCTCAGGCATTTCTCCTAATGAAAAACAAAGGGTCTGAAACAGGCCAAGTACAATTTGGTTCCTTTCTCCATCAAGAGGTTTCACTTGCACAGTCAGGCTGGTGCCAGAAACCACACATTTTTTGGTCATCTTTAGGGTGTTCCAGGAAACATATTGTCAACAGATCTCAAATTTTCAGTAGGAAAAGCAAGTAGAAGAATGACTCCCTAGCCTTCCCCTTTCTTTCTCCACATAAAGACAGCTTTCAGGGCTTCTTTATTGATGAAGAATGACCCCCAACAATTGTAAATCCATTTTTTCTTTTTCTTGCTTGTGATCTCTCCTCCCTGGCCAGCACAAGAAACTGTGATGCCCTCAAAGTGCCACTGCAGAAAGGGTTAAGGTATCTCAAACTACAGCCTCAATGAGCAGCTCGAAAAAGTGTCCTGTCCCCAGGGCAGGATCAGTGTATGAGAATTTGCTCAGATCATTTAATGTTTGTAACTTGATTTCCTGCCGGAAAGCTTCAGTGGGCGGAGTTTCTGCTGAACCAGACAGAACTAGAGCTATTTCCTTTTCCAGATTGCTTGTGCATGTCCAGTCAAGCTCAACTGAATTAATAGCAATCGGCTTGTTTCCCCCACACACCCCTTCCCATTCACCTTTTGCAGTGCAAATATGGGAAGTGAGTGATAATCTTGCTGTCAGGGCCTCAGGAGATGGGATGGTCCTGCAACCTTGGGCAAGTCCCATTGGTTGTCTGCACCTCTGGCCCACTTCTTGTTAAACTCTGGAGAAAGGATGCTCTAATGACCTGGCTCCTGCCCTACTGATTTCCTACATGACCTTGGGAAAGTCACTTAACATTTGCCTGCCTCCACCTTCCATGAAATGGAGAGGAAATCATCAGAAGGCTCTGCTCACTCTGCTGCCACCACCAGTATTAAACCATGACCCATGAGGACTGAAAGTAGAATTCTTTCCAATTTAAGCTTAAAGACAAGTTGCTATTTTCTCCTGAACAGTGCCGGTCTGTGTGTTGGATCACCCGAAGCACTTCTGCAAGGAAAAACCAGCCCTGTTACCCCCCATCATGCTCCCAAGTGGAATTTGATTCATTCATCCCCTACCTTGGCCATCCCAGGAACCATGAGTTTCTTTCACATTCATTAGTGAATGCAACCAAACTTCCTGGGAAAGGCCAGATTCTGCTCCAGGTGCTTGGTTTTTTACCAAAATTTTATGTTTCATCTCAGTAGTCTGAGCTAACCCCCATCAAGGATGCTTTTATCAATACTGAGATCATCTACAGAGGGGTGAATGCAGGACCAGTCAAGTGGGATCCTATGGACCTCATAGAAGAACAAATGGCTGGGGCCAGAGGTCTACCCCATGTACAGCCTTGGGACTCTACTGGTTTGAATGGTGTCAGGTCAATTTATTTGAGGTTCCGTTGGTAATCCAGACACTTCGTTATTGAGGTGAACGTGGGCAAGCCCCCTTCCCTCAGTCAATTTTTAGCAGCACCATTTGAAAATCCTCCCCAGAGTAAACAGCAAAGTCACCCCAGACAAAATAAATGAAGCACTGTGGGTTTGGGTTTTTTTTCTCTAACAGGACCAAAGAGGAAATTTCTCTGAAGCACAGAGAAATTTGAGTGTTGTGTTTCTCACCCTTTTCAAATTGCTGTCTCCACACCAGCCTGTGAGCCCCAGTGCTGGACGCCTGGGGCAGCACCCTCTCCCCCCATCCAGATAGTATCATGTCCTTAGGATGTGTCTACACTCCCAGGTGGAGCTGGTTATGAAGAATAGTCCTTTCCTTAAGCCTGGCTAAGTCTGGAGGCCTGGGCGTGAGACAGAAAGTAGGCACTGTTCCTTATCATACAAGGGAGATTATGCAAGAATGTCCTGTAATGAGGATAAGGAAGGTGCTTTGAATAGGTATGTGGGGTTGGCTGCAGGTAACTTCTGGCAGCAGCAGGGCTCTTGCAGCACGGACAAGCCCTGGTTTCCAGTGCCAGATAAAGTGGGGCAACCAGCTGCCCCACACCAACCTCCCTAAACCAAATGATCAATTCAGCTTCTTTCACCAAAAAATAGCACAAAATTTGAGGACAACATCAATGAAAAAACCATCACCAGGAACTAAAACTCAAAATCTTTATCTGCTACTGTTAGTTAATCATCCTTTGTGATTGCTGGCTCATGTGCATGGGAATGCAACGTGTATGGTTTCATTTTCTTAATTGCAATCATCCTGCAGACCATCTTCAGGCACGCTGGGGACCACCAATAGTGCAGGGACCGCATGTGAAGAAGCCCTGCCCTGGGAGACCCATCTGGCCTTCCCTGATGTGGTTAAAATGCCATTCCAGATTGTGGTGCTTGAGAGGATTTAATGATGTTCTCAGCCCAGACGAGAGCCCTGGACTATGCCCTGTGCCTGAGAAAGCAGGACTGAGCCTCAGCTGTGTAGGAGGGCAGCTATAAGAAACCAGGATATCTGCAGCAGTGGTAGAGCTCCCTTCATAGCCTACCCCATCTCTTTCACATGCAAGTGCAGCCTTGGAGTCTCTGGACCTTGCTTTTTCTGTTCTGAAGCCTTCACTGGCTATTAATACCTGGGGAATCTGTGAAGTAGGCAAACAAGGTTTTGATGAGTGTGGGAAAAAGAAAGGCGTTACCACGTATGAGTGAACTTCAGTTTCGCTCATGTGCTGAATTAGTCAGTACCTTCAAGTGAATTTCAAGTGCTGGTCTAGCTATTGAATGACTCTTCTTGAAGAGCTAAGTGCTCCATTTTTAGCCTCTGCCGGAGGAAAACTAAATTGAAAAAATACTATTTGAATCAGAACTATTGCAAAGGCTTTGGGGTTGGGGTTTTTGGTGTGTTGTTTTGGGGTGGTTTTTTTTTTTTTTTTGTTGGTTTTTTTTTTTTTCATGTTTCAACATTTGTTATCTCTCCCAGAAAGAAAAAGTAACTAGTACTCAACACACAGCAGTTGCTGGCTGGAGAAATCCAGGTTGCTTGTCATGCCCGTGAATGTGACGTCTGAGTCAGGAAACCTCACTGAGATGTTGCAGCCCCAGAGGAATATGATGTGATAATTGCATCACCAAAGGACCAGAAATATCTGGTGTAGAGGGTCAAGACACAAGCTCCAGTGGCTGAGAAATTCAGTGGAGGACTTGCTCCATTTGAACATTTAGTGGATGGAAAGGAGGTATGAGTGCTGGAACATCAACACTGACATCTCAAGAATTCATGTTTCACTTCCTACCCTGGAGGAGTGGTTCCTCCTGCAACCTTTCCAACCCAGAATTATCACTTTCTGCTGCTTCCCCCTCTAACACAGTGGCTGTGAGAAGTGCTGTCTGCAGATGGCAAAAAAACAAGAGTTGTTTTTTCCATCAGTTCACTGGTAATGGTGTCCTGGCTTGAAGAAAGTTGAGTTTGGCTGAAATGGAAATGACAGAAGGGGCAGGAAAAGAAAGATTACAGAAATTTAGACAAAGCAGGTGTATGGATTGCATGTCTATCCTTTCTGCAAACACGGAGGCTGCATGGGCTAGATCCAGGAAAGTGTCCCAGCTGTAATACAAGCACTTTGACAAGCACACATTAAAACATAGCCAGGCTTTCCACTAACACTAAGGCAATCACAGCCCTCTGGGATTAGCATCTGTGCAGAGGTTACAATCCTTCCACATTGCTTTTCAGTGCATTAGGCTGAAAAACATGCTCAAGGATGCTCACGTGCACAGGAGATTGTTGATATTTGTGCTGAAAATCCATTCAAATTCAGAAATTACAGCTAACATGAAGCCTACTTGATCCTCTTAAGGCTGTGACCTGATTGTGGAAACATTTCTCTTTGCTTGTTTTTCTAAAATAAAAAGAAGCAAGGCAGAGGCTTGAGTGAAGATGGATTCAGGCTTGCCAGGAGACCTGAAGGTGCTCCTCAGTTGCATTGCCCATAAATTTTTAATGCCTCCATTTCCCCTCCGGTTCACAATGGACAAATGCTCCCCTAGTCAGGATATTCTCTGATTCTGTGGTGTCCAAGAGCATCAGCCAAACTGGTATGAATTTACACCCCCAGCCAAGAAGCAACACCCCCAGGCACAGCAACCCTTCAGCCTCACCCATGCAAGAGGATCAAGCTGGGTTTGACAGCACTTCTGAGGGAATGTGGTGGAGCCTCATGCTGTTGGCCCTTTTTCTTCTGCCAGAGCTGTCAAGCTGAGGTTGTGCTCGAGCGCTACAATTTGCCATGTGGCATTTCAGATGGGAAGCAAAAGAATGGCTTTGCCAACCACCGCTCTCAGGTTCTTCGCTAAATAAAAACCAGATTCCTGACATTTGCTGTATCCAAGAGAAAGGTGGGTCTGTCGTTTTCACAAACAATAAAGGATGCAGAAAAACAAACGTATTCCCTCAGAGCCAAGCGCAGTTCCCCATCATGCCTGGGAATCCCCATGGAAGGGAAATGCTGTTCTAACAAGAAAAGATTTGACCAAAAATACCCAACCAAATGAATCAACTGTAACATTTTTCTTTATGTTTTTTGTTTGTTTGTTTCAGTTCTCAGGTTTTTTAGGGTTTTAAAAAAAGCAGTCACAGGGCAGACTTCTCCATAGGTCCCACCATCACCAGTGTTAGCAGAAGGATCTCTGCCCTCCAGAGCTTTCCCTGGGCTTTGCCAG